CTGGGGGTAATGTCATCTATCATCTTCTCCCCCCGGGGTATTAGGGACAATATCACAAGTGGGGTGTACACCCCCTGCAATATTGGAAGTAATATCATTCTCCTTACCAGAATATTAGGAACAATATCACGGTAGTGTGCACACTCCCTACAATATTGGGAGTAATATCATCCTCTCCCCTCTCCTGGAATATAAGGAACAATATCACAGGAGGGGTGTACATCCCCTGCAATATTGGAAGCAATATCATCCTCTCCACTCTGGATTTTAGGAACAATATCACAGGAGAGGTTTACACCACCTGCGATATTGACAGTAATATCATTGCCTCCCCCATTGAATATTAGGAGAGTATCTCGAGGGGGGGTGTACACCCCCTGTGATATTGGGAGTGATAACATGCTCTCATCCCCTGCAGATTACGAACTATATTACAGAATGGTGTACCACCTCCCCCCTCCCCATAATATTGAGAGTAATATCCTCTCCCCCATTGGATATTATGAACAATATCACAGGCGCTGTACCACACATGTGATATGGGGAGTAATATCACCCTCTTCCCCCCAGATATTATGAAAAATATGTCAGGGTTGTGTACACCCCCTGCGACATCGGAAGTAAGATCATTTTCTTTCCCCTTGAATATTATGAACAATATCACAGAGGGATGTAAACGCCCGGCGATATAGGTAGTAACATCATCTCCTTTCCCCGTGGATACTATGAACGGTATCACAGGGGTGTGTATACCCCCCTTTGATATGGCAAGTGACATCATCCTCTCCCACCCTGAATATTATAAACAATATCGCAGTAGCATGTGTATTCCCCGTGATATGAAGAGTAACATCATCCTCTCATCCCCTGGTTATTACAGACTATATCACATGGGGGTGTTCACCCTCTGTGATATGGGGAGTAACATCATCCTCTCTTTCCCTGTATATTATGAACAATATCGCAGGGTGACGTACACCCTTTGGGATACGGAGATTAACATTATCCTATCCTCACCTAAATATTACGTACAATATAGCATTGGGGTGTACACCCCCTGCGATATGGGGAGTAACATCATTCTTCCACTCCTGGAAATTACAGACAATATCATAGGGGGTTATACACCCTCTGGTGTATGGGGAGTAACATCATCCTCTACAAGGAATCTACAAGGAACTTTAACAAATGTAAAAGAAAAAAACAACCCCATCAAAAAGTGGGCAAAAGATATGAACAAACACTTCTCAAAAAAAGACACTTACATGGCCAAAAAAGCATATGAAAAAAAAGTTCATCATCACTGGTCATTAGAGAAATGCACATAAAAACCACAATGAGATACCATCTCACACCATTTAGAATGGCAATCATTAAAAAGTCAGGAAACAACAGATGCTGGAGAGGATGTGGAGAAATAGGAACACTTTTACACTGTTAGTGGGACTGTAAACTAGTTCAACCATTGTGGAAGACAATGTGGAGATTCCTCAAGGATCTAGAACCAGAAATAACATTTGACCCGATGATCCCATTACTGAGTATATACCCAAAGGATTATAAGTCATTCTGCTATAAAGACACATACATACGTGTGTTTATTGCAGCACTGTTCACAATAGCAAAGACTTGGAACCTACTCAAATGCCCATCAATGGTAGACTGGATAAAGAAAATGTGGCACATATACATCATGGAATACTATGCAGCCATAAAAATGATGAGTTCATGTCCTTTGCAGGGACAGAGATGAAGCTAGAAACCATCATTATCAGCAAACTAACACAAGAACAGAAAAACAAACACTGCATGTTCTCACTCGTAAGTAGGAGTTGAACAATGAGAACACATGGACATGGGGTGGGGGGGTCATCACACACCAGGGACTGTTGGGGAGTTGGGGGCTGGGGGAGAGATAACATTAGGAGAAATACCTAATGTTGATGATGAGTTGATGGGTGCAGCAAACTACCATGGCACGTGTATAGTATACCTATATAACAAATCTGCACATTGTGCACATGTACCCCAGAACTTACAGTATAATAAAAACAAACAAACAAACAAAAAGAACAGGAGTCTCCCTGTACAAGATCTCTTTTCCTGCTGCCACCCACGTAAGACGTGACTTGCTCCTCTTTGCCCTCTGCCAAGATTGTGAGGTTTCCCCAGCCATGTGGAACTGTGAGTTCTCCATTAAACCCCCTTTTTGTAAATTGCCCAGTCTCAGGTATGTCTTCATCAGCAGCATGAAAACAGACTAATACAACACCTGAGTAGCGAGAGTGAAGTTTAATGAAATGATAATAATGTAAGCAAATTTAAAAATCATTGGATTTAATTTAGTGACTTAAAACACTGGATTACGATTATTGTATTGTATTGTATTGTATTGTATTGTATTGTATTGTATTGTATTGTATTGTATTTCATTTATTTATTTTTGGGATGGAGTCTTGCTCTGTCACCCAGGCTGGAGTGCAGTGGCATGATCTTGGCTCACTGTAACCTCTACCTCCTGGGTTCAAGCAATTCTCCTGTCACAGCCTCCTGAGTAGCTGGGATTACAGGTGTGTGCCACCATGCCTGGCTAATTTTAGTATTTTTAGTAAAGACAGGGTTGCCATGTTGGCCAGGCTGGTCTAGAACTCATGACCTCAGGTTATGCACCGCCTCAGCCTTCCAAAGTGCTGGGATTACAGGCATGAGCCACTGCACCCGGCCTACAACTGTATTTTAAATAAGAATGTACTCTCTGAAAATTGTCATAAATAAATGTCAGTGTTGACTTCAGTAAGTCATCTTTATATGTGTTTTCCTGAATGTTTCTTTATATACATTTCACAAAACTCTAACATTACTACTGGCAGATTATATTAATAAACATATAAAAACAGTAATTCTTTTATTTTTCTCTAACCTGAGCTCTGGGACAAGATTGTTATTCTTGAACCTGAGCTTCACAATTAAATTAGATGTGCAGCTTTGACAATTACCTAATCATTGTGTGCCTCAGTGTCCTCATTTATAAAATAGAGATGAGACAGCCTCCTTCTCATGAAGTTATTTTGAGAATTAAATTACCTAATCCATCAAAAGAACATAGAATAGGGCCTAACACATAGTAACTACCCAGTAAATGTGCTCTATTATTATATAATAGACTTCAGATATGGAAACATATGGTTTACTGACAACATTAGTTTCCAGAAATGCTTAAAACACAGTTAAGCATGCATCGACACATGTTGATACCAATATCAACTATTCCTAAAATATACCTCTGGGAACCTCAATTCAGCATGCCAAAATGGCATTTGTTCCTATTCATATGGTGAGTGCTGATGGAACACAAGAGACAGAGCATTAAGAGCAACTCAAATTTGCTCTTCCAAATAATTGATAGCTGTTTTATCACCCATCAGAGTATCAATCTGTCACTCGCTTAAGTCAAAATGTCAATCTTTGTTCAAAAACGATGTACAGAATATTGTACAACCTGGTTAGCTTGAAAGAATACAAAATGTATTTATAATAATTTCTCAAATAAATTACTATCTAATTTTAATTGATTTAAGAGTGAGTCAAGAAATGATTCAATTACTCTCACGGGAAGTAACAAGAATGTAAATGATTAACGTCAAATGAAGTATACCAAAAGAACAAGAGAGAAATATTTTGAACAATTAACTGTCACTGTGGAGGACTTTTATGTGATATTCAATCATTCATCATAGAAAGTACACCTTTTATATGAAACAATTTCAAATAGCAAGTTTCTTTGTACCAAAAGACCGATCTTAAGAAGTAAGACCAATTTAAATAATTTTTCTTTCTTGTTTAAACTAATATATTCCAGATCTCTCTTGAACAGGCGTGGTAAGCACTCCTCTCCCCACCACCACTGGCAGTCTCTTATCTGCCAAATATTTTAAAATCTAAATTGATGCATAGTATAAATGGAACCTTTAACAAATTGAGCACTTTGTCAACACTCAGGTTTAATGAACACACATCACTTGAATACTTTTTTTAAAGATTTTTTTTCCCAGATAATAACCTAGAATTTTGAGCTTGTCGAATGCAATCTGCTACAGAAAAGACCTACTTGTGCTGTCTCCTTCTTCCCCAAATAGCACCTAGGTCATAAACTATAGTACTCAGTCATTCTTAATTCTCCACAAAGGAGCTCCATAAACAATGACCTGTTATATCAATGACTTTGCCAATTAGAGTCACAGTAGGCACTACAATTGGACACATCATTTTCTGTTCTTCTGACATTTACAACTTCAAATCCTACTTAAAATTGTAGTTATTAGATTCAGTGCTTATAGTCATTAATACAGAATATCTTTATGACTCTTTTCATTGATAGAGCAGATGTTAGACCTCAATGGTAGGGCTCCTTGTGTGCGCTCTAAGTTTTGGCAAGGCCAAGTTCCTCAGAGTCTGCAGAAGGACACCCTCCATTTAATATGAACATTGGTTCAGGAAGGTGAGGATGAATGGCTTTGCAGTAGTTAGACTGAGAGCTAATGAACAAATGTGTTACAGTCTTAGCTTCCCAGGCTTTCTAAAAGTCTTTTCAAATTACCTCCTACATAAGTTGGTGTTAACGATTGTGCAAGTCTCTCTTTAAGAGCTACTATGCTTAGACTAAAAGGGAATTTTCAATGCTTTAGGGAAATATTTTTTATCTATATTAAGAATAATTCTTTGCATACCTATGCTCTAGCTCTGCCTCTCAGCAAAGGAAAATGAGCTGTTCTGCATTTGTTTTTCAGTGCGAAGAAGGACATTTAATTTCTCAGGCAATGCATGGTAACTTAGAGCAATGTGTAGAATGTGAAATGGAAAATGCATACAACTACAAGATAAGTGGACTGTTTCATCCACAGACAATAACCCATCCCTAATGACTCATTTTCCTCTATATAAATTGAGAAAAGTGACAAGGATGGGGAATGTTTTTCCCTTACAAGGAAAAAAAAAATTACCTGCAAAGAAATGTAATCATATTAGGCTGATGCATCCATTGGTACTACATCATCCTCTGTCCTCTGTGTTAGTAAATGCCTTATTATAGCTACTGCAAAATAAAGAGAAAGAGATAAAAAAAAATTTAACAAACATGTTTTGACTTAACTTTCCTGGAATGGGGCTGTGTTATGAACTCTGTAACTACAAATTTAAAATCAAATGACAAGAATGTAAATAAAAATTAATAATTTGCTCTCTATGTTAACTTTCCATTAATGCTTTTATTAGACTGTTAGATTATTCCTAACTAGGAATTAAGTTAAAAATGAAAGGGTTTTTTTTTTCCAGACCACAACTTTATGTAATTTTCTCATTATGTATGCGCTTTAACCTTTTATCTGTTTCCTTAAAACACTTGACCTGATAATCAGGGATTAAATACAAGATAGTCTTCTCTGCTTCTCTCTATTGTCATCTGCTCCAAGAGTACTCTTTGCTGTGTACTGTAATGTTGATTCACTTGATTATTTTTTAAATTCCTAGTCTATACTCTAATAAGGTTTTAAAACTGTACTCCTGCATTAACATTATGTATTGTGCACCACTGCCGAGCTAATGGGCTAGGATGAGTCAGATCCCCATATATTTTTATGTTTTTTTTTTTCTTAGTTTGTCTTCATTTCAGATTGAAAACTCCCTTTACTTAGCCAATTTTTTAAATGAACTTCATAAATCTCCTCACGTAAAGCACAAGCAGCAGAATTTATTTAAAGTGGAAAACTTTTTCTCCCAATACTCTTTTGTAGATTTTGCTGTAAAGGGAAATCAGTCTTAAGCAGTCAGGGCTGTTTTGCACTGAAAGAAAATTAAATTCCTGCATCCCTGTGCATACTGCACGCATGGCATGCTTTCCATATGATTTCTACCTACATGATCATCACTCAGCACTGAAAAAGCTCAGGGGCAAACGAAGGTCGGGAAGGTATGAGGAGAGCAACAAAAATCAAGATGAACTGAAAATGACTTAATTTCCATACATATTTCATTCTAAGTGCAGGCTCAAAAGAGAAAAGTGCTCACTCATCTCTCTCTTCTCCAAAGCCTTCCCTGCAGCCGCATTTCAGTTAAGTGAGGGTAAAATAGGCTTTTGCATTAAGTTCAGTTAACTTTTTTCAGATCAGTTATCAGAAGGAGTCCTATCTCCCTGTGGCTCAATTGTCAATTGAAGACACCAAACAATAACAGTAATGGATGTGTAAAAGAACATGTTACAACTATCAGAGCACTTTACCAGAATTGTGTCATTTGATCCTTGCAAAAGCCATGACCAAAGATAATTTTAAATAATTGATGAGTAAATGGTGCTTCAGAGGTTAACTAATTTGAAAAAGTTCAACTGACAATCAATACGTAATAGATTACATGTGCTATTTTCAGTATACCAAACAGCTTTAAAAGATACCCTTGTATATCTTGGTATGAATACATATTCCTCTAACAACTGAATGTTGGAAGTGTCTTTCATGAGGCCCTGCACTTTGTGGGGATTATCTGTTAATGAGCTAAATCCCCTAGAAATCGTGTATATTGATGTATTTGTGCCAGGAATATTATGTATCCCTGCTTGAGTCAGGCTTCCTTTTTGGTCTTTCAAACACTTTATTTAAATAAAAAGTAATACACATATACTCATGATAGAAAAATACAGATAAACAAAAATAAGAAAACTTAAATTATCCATAACCCTACACAGATTTTTATTGTTGTTAACTTTTTTTCCAAATAATTTTAGACAGGAAAGAGCAGCAAAATTAGTACATAGAGAAATCTCAGATCACCTTTACCCATCTTCCCTACTCTTATAAAATCCTAAAAACGGTTCAATTTTCAAAACAAGAAAACTAGTATTGGCCCAATTTTTTCACTCATGCTTTCTTATTGTTTCAGGTTCTAATTAGGGATCCTATAATGTATTGTTTCATGCCTCACTAGTCTCTCCGAGTATGTGACAGATCCTTAGCCTTTCCTTGTATTTCATGGGCTTGACATGTTTGAAGAGTACTGGTAAGTGCCTCAGTTTGGGTGTGTCTGATGTCTTCTGCTGATCAGGATGAGGTAATGCATTTTTGTCAGGAACATGACAGAAATTATGTGCCCTTCTCAGTTCATCACATCGTGGTGTAAATATATCTTATTGCTGGAAAGCTAATCTTGATTCATTGGTTAAGGTGATGTTTGCAAGGTTTCTTCACTATAAAATTACCATTTTCTCTTTGCAATCAACACAAATGTTGGGGAAGATTACTTTGAAATTATTCAAATAATATCATTTGATATCAAATAATATCTTTTTCTTAAATTTTGGCTCTTAAATTTAGCATTCATTCGTCGATTTTGCTTGCAACGATGACTTCTGTCGTCATTACTTTTTTTGTCTTTTTATTTTTGAGACAGAATCTTGTTCTGCCACCCAGGCTGGAGTGCAGTGGTAGGATCTCTGCTCGCTGCAACTTCTACCTCCAGGGCTCCAGGGATTCTCATGCCTCAGCCTCCCGAGTAGCTGGGATTATAGGCATGTGCAACGATACCTGGATAATTTTTGTATTTTTAGTAGAGACAGGGTTTCACCTGTGATCTATGAACCGGTTATCTTACATGTTTTTTTAAAAAGAGGTACTATGCAAATGGAACTTAGGAAAGGACAGACCTGGAGATAGGGAGATTGTTTGGGGCTATACAATAGATGCAGTCTAATCACAGGAGTCCCTAAAAGTGGAAAATAAAAGAAGAAGGATGGGTCACAGGGACACAACCTGAGGACTTGACCTGTTTTTGCTGGTTTTGAAGATAAAGGAAGGGAGCTGAAGCCAAGTAATGGCCTGGCCTCTACAGGTTCAGATCAGTCACTGACTGATAACCAGCAAGAAAATCGGGTCCCTGGCCTTTTAATGTCAAGGAACCAAATTATTTCGTCAACTTCATCAACAAAAACAACATAAAAGAGCAAAGAAATGAATTCTTCCCTAGAACCATTAGAAAGGCATGTGTGATGTAGCTGTGTCAGACTTCTGACTTACATTATTATAAGATAATAAATTTGCTTTGAGTCAGTAGATTCATACTCTTCTGTGATGGCCACAAATAAAAATATAATAAAACTATCTTTTCTTTTCTTCCCTTAAATTGTTCCAGATTTTGCCACTGGGAGCTCCTTCATTTGAGCTAGGTCTCTTGCTCATCTTGATGGCTGTTGGTAGCACTTTCTTCATTTGAATCAACTATGCGGTCAACCTTATCAGTAGACTAAAAGTCTGATAATCAAACTAAAAGTCTGATAATTTCATACAAATCAAATTCATCTTAGATTTTCTTTCCATGGTCAGAGGAAAACCATGAGAGAATACAGTTGACCTAGCCACTATAATTTTTAAGAGTTAATTTAAAATATTATAGTATGGAGGCATTGGGTTTGACTCTTTGCCCCAATTTGTAAGACACTCCTGAGCTGTGTGCATGTGTGTGTGTGTGTGTGTGTGTGTGTCGCTGTCTTTTCTAAATCTGATACTAACTGGGAAACTGGAGGTAGGCCAGGACTCAGGATATAAAATAATTTAAGGAATGGGTAAGAGGCAGGAAAAAAAATACATGCCCACTTCTACCTTGCTGTGTTTACAAAGGCTAGAGGTGATGCAATTTTAGGCCATCCCTAAAGCTTACTGCATCATTACCATAGCCATTTTTCTAACAGTAATTAATGCCTAGATTGACATCAGTATATGACTTTTTTAAGATACCACCTTTCAAGTTAAAGAAGTAATATAATGACATCAGTCCATTCTAAGGAATTTCTTATTAATATCCAGTCTTTCCAAAAAATTAGGCTTTGCATGAAACAATGTGGTAAGGAGGGTGCAGTGGACATTTAAATAAGAAGGGATGCCTTGGAGTGGGAAAAATGGGACCTGGAAAAGTATCTCAATTTATCTGGTTCAGGGCTGATCAGGATCTCATGTGCCTCCAAACTCCTCGCAAACTCCTCCGTGGTTATTTTGATAAAAACAAATTTCTTAAGTTTCTTGAGTACAGAAACAGCATCTTATTTCACTTTGGTTTCTTAGCTCAGTTCTAGCATATAGTGTATTGTTTCTAGTATATGTTTATGGAATTTAAAAATGGATTAAAAATCAATAATAATTTGAAATAATCTGTAATGTATGTAACAATTCTGCCATGGAAAATATTCTTCACTGAAACTCAAGCTTCCAAAGGTAAAGAATTCATGTTTGTTTTATAAATGTCAGTTATTAGTATAGTACAATGCCTCATATGCAAACTTGCAGTTTTATTTTTTAATTTCTCCTCAAAATGTGCTGGTAGGCTAATTTAAAGAAAATTATATATAAAAATGTATATACACAAGCATACATTAGCTAGAGAATATATATATAGTGTGTGTATTATATATGTGTGTGTGTGTATATATACACAGAATGAATCATCTCCATTGACATTAAGAACGAATAGGAAAATAAGAAGAGTCAGTATAAAATTCAACAGCGGAAGACAAATACCTTTATACGACTTTTTATACTGAGAAATTAAAGTATATGTGAGACGATAATTAATAAAAACTAATAGCATAAGCACTACATAAAAAAGCTTTATGACCATTTGATATTAAAGCAATATGCTATATATGGTCATTTTTGTTTGACAGTGGCTTAAAGGAAGTCTAATTTAAAAGCTTCAGTTAAATCTCTAGATCTAACCATTGATTAATCTTTTAGGATTTACTTTCACTTAGTATCTTTCCCCCTCAATCTTTTTCTTCCTCCCTTTATTTTATTAAGCTATTTTTCTTGTCAACAGAGTCCATGGAAGATGTCTGAGTAAAATCATCCATAAATATATTAGCTTTGTTCAGTATCACACATTTTTAGGAATTTGAATGGGGAAAATCATCACCTTAAGGAAAATGTCAGTGCTGAACAATATTTTATCACTGTCAGGATTGTTTTTAGGTGATTTTTGAGCCTATATTTTTTTGCCTCCAACACAATAATACCAATATTATTTCAATAGTGTGGTCGCAAAGCAAAGAATC